TATATGCACATGACTGCTGAAAAGTACAATTAAATCATTGAGTAATGTGAATTGCGATTGACATTTTGCTATTGTGATAGATCAATTAGTTAATAGTTTAAAATGTGTCATCTAAAACCTCTTTCCATTGTTTGGTTAATTTCAAATCGAGAGGGGGGATCTAAACTGAGGGGTAGGGTGTGGTGTTGTGTGATTTGTCAGAACATAAAATTTTTTTTGCAGCACAAAGTAATTTTGAAAAATTTTCTGTTTTTGGAATTTGTTTGCTGTAGATCAATTTTGGGGGTAAAAATATCCCTTCCATATCTTGGCACCACCCCATATCTTTTTTTCCTCGTTTAATTAGGGCAAGAAAAACCTAAAATACCTCTTGTAAGAGGGCTTTTATGACCTCAGACAAGGTGTTGTGGAGATGGGCTCTAGATGTTGCTTAGACCCCTTGAGTTGGTGATCAGGGTTAGGCTGCCCCCAAGGAGGTTACCTTGCTTATGTTGGTTGCTTTTGCTGACTAGATGCTAAGTGGGCTGTCTTTTCGATCTGTATGAATCATAGCAAATTGTTGCTGAGTTTGCTATTTGATTGAGTTTATGCTGGTAGGTTTGTGCTGATTTCCTTTGTGTCTTGTCGGATGAAGTGACTTGTGTCGTTCATGCTAATTAACTTTTGTGCCATATTGGTTGGGTTACCATTTATGATTTGTATTTATTATGCTTGTGTTAATATTTTATCAAGCGGATGGGTTTTGAATTGTGTGTTGTCTTTTGAAATCTCTGATTTGTATCTGTAAAATTACTTGATCTTCCACTTTTCTATTTCTTGGTTGGCTTTGTTGTAATTGTTTAAGCTGATGGAATCGTTGTTAGAAGAATGTTCCTTTCGGTATTAACTACCAAGCGATTGTTGCACATCTCAAAACAAATTTCTTGCGTAATTAAAATTTTCATTTGTTTGATATAATTGGGAGCTGTTGATAAGATTGACAAAGTAGAAGGGATTTGTTAGCTTGCCCACATTGGTATTTGAAAACCTTATGATTCCCTTTTTGGATCGTTGATGTTGGTAGCGAATTTGTTGGGATTGTACTAGTTCCGGTATGATATTGGTCTTTCTCTTGGTTTCCTTCAAAACGCCCCTTTTGTCTGGTGTTTTCTTAGGTCGTCCTACATACCCACTGAAACTTATTTTTTTTTCTATTTTTTTAGTTCTTTATTATTTTTGTGGATCATTAATTTGGGCCAACTCGAGTAGCCATTCCAGTGATCTGAGCTGTTATTTGCCATATCCATGAAACACTTGCTCATATACTTTAGTGAGGTTGATCATCTCAGAAAATGTTGCCAATATTAACGCGATTTCTAAAACATTCTCAAAATTTACTTCTGCAATGCTTGTTTTAGTCCATGTCTACTTTTACACCGTAGATTTTTAATAATGAAAAACTAGAAAGCTTATTTTTTGACTCCTAGTGGTTTTCAACAGGTACATTCAGGTTGGGAATGCGGTTGCAGTCCCTGTAGGAAGGGCATTAGGACATGCACTAGCACTTGCAATCCAAAAGCTTGGGAGTTATGATGAACCTCTCATGGCACTCCCTCCTAAGTTTCCACAGTGCCTTCATAGGGTATCTTCTTCAACTATTGATGTCTTAGAGCATTGTTAGAACATTATGATCTATTCTGGCAGATTATTGAAACAATGCCGCTATTTTTCCTTCATAGCCCCTATTTTTCTTTTTCTTGTGCAAAAAGTGCATCTTCTCATTTGTAAACTTTCCTAAACTTATTGTGACATTAGTGGTTATGCCACACTAGCTTTTAGCTTTGTAAGTGGTTCAACCACTCCAGTGATTAAACATTTTATCTTTCCTCATTTTATTGTGTACTTTAAAACTACCTTGTGACAGTTATGTTTTTGTAAGTTAATAAGCACTAAACAGATCCATTCAAAATATCATAATTAATTTTTCTTCTTTCAGAGGATTATTGTAGTGGGCAGCTTCTCCTATTTGCATTTGATGCTTTTCTTTTGTTGAAGGCTCCTCCTTAACCCCCTATTATTATTATTATTTTTTTTTTGGAAAGTGTTTAATAGGGTTGTTGCTCTATCAACATAAGCAAATGCTTACCTCATAACTCATCAAAAATTGCGTGTCAAGCATTGTAAATCCTTTACATCGATCATCTCAATTTGCACATTGTGGTCGTGAAAGACATTTGCATTTCAAGCTCTAGAAAGTTCATTCTTTGCCTCAAGATTGAAAGTCTTAACTTTCTTGCTAAAGAACCTGATTTGTTGGGGTTGTGTTCAAAAGTTCAAATAAACTTTTGAACTATAAAAAATACAGAAAAAAAAAAAAAATCCATGTTGTGCAATTTGAAAGATCAACTTTTGCACTGTCCAAGTACATCAAATTCTTTGGTATGAATGGCCCAAGTACCTCATTTTCTTTCCAATTTGTACATAAATTTATATTTTCTCAATAAAAGTACAAGTTTTGAGAAAGAGGGTCAACTGAGGGACCCCTTCAACAGAAATATGAGCCAGGAAGAGTGAAGGTTTTCACCATTGTTCTCTCATAAAATACCCCCTCGTTGAAAGATTACGAACTACCTTTGGAAGGTCATCCTAAACAACCTCGCCTTCCCACTCCTTTTCCTTTAAGGGCAATTAGCTGATGTATTTTTCAGTCACCAAGAGGCTTCTTTTTTAATCGTGGTCATTGCTCTATATTCTCAACTTTAGGCATCGGGGCGATGCGAGGCTCTTTTATTGTATATATTGCTCGGTTGCTGACTTGCACCTGTCTCCTTCCCTATCATCCGTTCTGCATTTTATGCCCTTTTATCACGTTTAACTCCTCTGACTTATGCATGTGAGAAAATAACCTTAATGAGTTATGACGTGTGTGAAGATTCACTTTAAGTGTCTTAGCTTCGACAAATTTCCTGTCCGTTAGGGATCATATGGATGTCTCAAAGATAGAGGTCTGAAAATTGGAGCTGTTGGTGCCCTCCAAATGGTGGTAACTATCTAAGTCGTCGCAATCTTCTAATGTAGGCATGCGGAGGTTCACTAAACATCATCGGGAAGGTGGAATGGATTCAATCTGTTTGCATTCAAGATTGAGTCCACGAAGGTGATCCATGCATTCATAGTAACTTATTAAGGGGATGGCCCATGGAGCAAGGTAGCAAGTTTTGGGAAACTCTATGACAATTCAAAGAGAACCTCTAGTTCATTTCCTATCCGCGAAATTTGTGAAGGGTTCTTAGGTTTCTTTGAAGTGACGTAGTTCCTATTAGTCCTTATGAGTATACAAATTTGTTTTATATAGACAAATACAAATGGCAAGAATAAAAATAAATCAGACACTTAAACTATATTGTATATATCTTTTCCATATATATTGATTATAATATACACCTTCCATATTGACTTAGTAGACTATCTGTACTTTCGTTTCACAAAATTCTCTCTATTTCATCCCACTCGGTAGCCTCTAGGGTATTCCTCAATCAAGCACAAACTTGCACGAAAAACTTGGGGTTGTCTTCTTACTTGAAAGGAAGTCATCAATCTACACTATTTTTGAAGCTTTAAACTTTATAAATAACAATGAAAATATAGTTTAAGGCTATCAAAAAAGTTTCAAGTATTGAAACCACGTTTCTCGACACTATTTGAAGGTAGGCTCTAATTTGATTGTTTAGAGCCTAGGCACTATACAAACCACAACCAAAAGAAATAGACATTCAACTTCTTAAGATACATGTTTTCCATGGGTAGCTTTTAATAAGTAGTGGAATAATCTTATTTTAAACAATTACATTTCACAAAATTTGTTATTTTAATTTTAAATTGACAAAATTAAATAGGAATACGTACAGGTGCATGATATAATACCATTCGACAAGTAGTTAAACAAGGGTATTTTCATAATTTTTTTTAATATAAAGTGACAATCTAAGTTGTAGAAGGAAAACATCATTCATTTTTCATTTTAGTTAGATGGTGTAGATTTTTTTTAAAATAATTAAAAAAAACTATTTTAATGGAAATCCTAAGCTTCATCTGTATTTTCATCCCTAACCAATTGTGCCTCACAAAGAAACCATGAAGAAGTGGAAAATTCATGGTGGGTAGGACATAAAACAGTTCTATGAATGCATCACAACAAACTTTTTAGTTGTGGTTTTTTGGGGAGTCCTTGCATCATTTTTTCTCCTCCAAAAGTAGTTGTTTGGCAGCCAAAAACACATCTAAAATACCCCCCTTCAGCAGCCTTCTTTGCAAACCCCATTCTTTTTATTTTCATTACAAGCGAGAGTTCCTATGCCACACTAATGGTATTTACCCCTACTGGGTAGTTTCCGACCCTTTTTGTAGGTAAAACATTCCCCGCAAGAAGAGCAAAACGTTTACATTATTTTGGGGGACCAAAAAAAAGGATAAGGTGTATATAGGTTTTATGAAAAGAAATTAAAGCCTCACCTCAAATCGTCTAGAAAGTACTTTCGGTGATGGAAATCTTGATGATGACTCTAAAATCAATTTCCAACACAGACAATAAAATTTAGAACTAAAAAAAGTGCAAATCTTGCAGATCTATGAACACTATCTTTAATGTAAAATGGATAGCCTAGATAATTTGTTACAATATAAAAAAAATGAAAAAAATAGTAGAACCTGACCATAAGCAATTACATTCCAGATGAACGTGAGTGGTTCATTATTCACTTCAGACAACCTGATTTTCAGTTGCACTTAATTGCCTTTTAAGATTCAGATTAAAGAAACCTCAAATTACACCAAAGGCCTACAGTTTCATTTTGTTCACAAAAGAGCACAACTAGATATTATAATCCATTCCCCTGCCCTCTTCCCTTCTTCTCGTTAATTTAAGTTAAAAAAATACCATATTTTTTTTATATTTTATGCTCAAGTTTCATTTTTTCATGTTTTTATATTTGGAAGCTTGTTCTGATGTTAAATGCGGGACCCTTTTTTCTCTTTTTTTTTTTTTTTTCTTAAGGTGCAAGTGAAAGACAAGTTTGGAAAGGACATTCGACCCCAGCCACTTGTATTTTTTTAAGCTAAAGGCTAGTTCTAACTTGTAACATCCAAAGTCCAAAAACCGATATTTCACTCAAAACAAAAGCAAGTAAAAAAAACAAAAAAAAACAAAAACGAGACATTGGATGTGGGTGACATGGGAAAGCAACAGAAAATTGGAACTTAAGAGCATAAAAAAGAGAGAATTTATAATACCATACTATAATCAGATTTCTTACAAATTTCTTATTTTTTAAAAGGTTGCAGTT